GGGGGGGGGGGGGGGGGGGGGGGAGGGGGAACGGGCATCTGTCGTATGGTCCTTTTCCTTTATTTCTTTTGATATATCATTGTCGTTTGCGGTTATTTTTGATTCACATGTTAGCTTGGTGGGAGTTTTTTTTTGATGGATGTTGTTGTGGATCTTTGGCACTGCTCTATGCCAAAATTCGGATTGGGCAGATCGAGTCAGGGAGTCGGAAAGAGCCAATGTCTGTATGACTAATAATTCAACACAAGCTTCGAAATGGTCCTGATATGGCTAAAAAATCAAACTGCTCGAGGCTTTTTTCCGTTATTAGGCATTTTTCAGGCGGGAGTTTCCTGAGTAGGGTTTGTCAATTGCAATAAATGCGGTCACTCGAGATATGTATTCAAATTCATTTCGCTTATTTTTTTTTTTTTTGAGATTTTAGCTTTTATTTCATTATGGCATGCCTTATCGTGGATGGAGCCCTTTCTCCGAAAATCGAATCACCCCGCTTCGTGTCCTGACGCAATGTGTTACCACTACACCTCCGGCCCTTGTTCAGCTTAGCAAAACATCTACTGTCTGTTTGACTTTCAGGGCGAGATACACCTCTTTTTCTTTGTGACGGCTTCTTGGTCAGTTTTTCGCGGGTTTTTCGTGACGTGTCTGTCAGTACATGTGACCGGAGCTGCATCACGTTGTAGTCAGGTTATTCATGGTCCTGGTATTTTTAACAATCCGGTTAAAAAATCTTGACCATTTTCCCAAAGCAGTTTTTGTTTTTGCAGCTCCATCAGTAACATAACATACTACAGACATAGTTTTCTTTTTTTTTGCAGCACAAAGTAAAATGAAACACTGCAGATCTGAAGTTTCCCAGTTGCACAGCACACTGCGCGAGTTAAATGAGGAGAAAGAACGCGCTACCGCAATGAAGCAGAGCAACGTGGCTCGATTCGGTGCATCGATCCCACTGATTCTGAAAATTATTGAGCAAAATGCTGGTAAATTTACTCGAAAACCAATAGGACCAATAGGTAATTTTCCTTTTTCATAAATTGCACAAATAATGCCAGGAATGCTAGAACGGTCCCGTGTAAGAATGATTTTTTTTTGTAGTATAAATTTTAAAAATATTACTTTTTTAGGTGCCTACATTGAACTAAAAGACAATTCGTGGGCTGTAGCTATCGAGCAATGTTTGCGTAATTTACTTCCGGCATTCCTGTGTGATAATATGCAAGACAGAAATATTCTGGCAAATCTTCTGCGCAAGAGCAACATCCTCTCATTCACATGCATTGTTGCGAAGTAACAGTTCAGTGTTATTTATGTAAAAAAAAAAGACTTCAGATGGCATGAAATTTATCCCCCCGCCCCATCCCCACAGAGATGGAAATGTTGCTTAGTGGATGCTTAGTTTGGCTGGGCAGATAGGATTGTTCATTAGCAAAGTGCAGGAGTTAGTGCTGGGCGCAACTTCGAACAAAATAGCGTTAAAATTTTGTTTGACATGATTTCACCGGAAGTGCATTTGGCTGCTAAATATTCTGGCGAAAAAGTTGGGTTTTATGTTCGATTGGTTTTTTCTGATTATTTTATCAACTAGAAAACAGCGTCGTTCCACCTTCGCGCAGATGGCATTTTTTTCTGCAGATTTACGGATCGCCGTTATGCAACTGCTTCAAACGAGCCACTGCAGAAATATATAACTGTGGCTCGGCAAGTAGTTATCAGTGATGATAACGTATTTAATGCTTTGGTTGATCAGGGCCAAATTGAATCTGTTCTGTTGATTGAAAGTGACGAATTGGCGCGTACAATGATGTCCAGAAGCGTAATATTTTTTGTTTCGTTTTGTATTTTTTTTTAAATTTAAAAAAAAATCTGAATTTCGGATGTTTTGCACTTCCCCTTTCTCTCTGAAGCAAAAAACTGGAAATTAGCTGTAAAATTAAAGAAAAAATCAAGAAAATTAGGAATCACTGTAAAATTAAGAAAATCGAGAAAATTTGGAAATCACTATAAAATTACGAGGAATCATTTATCGGTTTGGAAATGAGTCTGGAATATATTGGATCGGAAATTCGCAGTCGGTTGTAATTCTGATGGTTTTTTTGTTTTCTTTTTCAGCCCCCAAAAAACGTTCGCAAAGGTTTCACTAAAAGCGGTGCTGAAGTTTATGCGAAAACGAGTAGCGGCATATATCGATTTTATGCAAATTTTCGCAATCAATCGTCAAGCATTTTAGTCAATGATAAAGCAAAGAA